GGATTTGGATCAAATGAATTGGATTTAAATGGATTGGATTAGGTGGATAATTTGGTGGATGGATTGGATTGGATTCATGGATTTGGATCCTAATTGCCACCTCTACAAATAAACAATAAAAGAACTATTGTTACATGGTTTCATCCACAAGAGATATATCATCAGTTCATCACCAAAGCAACTGGTGTAATTGGAAAAGGGTCTCTGCTGCTGGTTTGGTGATTGGTTCCCTCACCAAAATCTCCATTCTTCTCCAAATGCAATGCAATTCCAGCACCACTCTCTTCTCCTTCTTCCTCCCTCGTCCCCCTACTTCTTCATTCATCTCTTCTTCCTCTTCCAATCCCAAAAGCTTCACCAATTGTTCCCAATCCTCAAACCACAACAACCCCCACCCCATACTCCCCTCGCCGGACTCACACTCCCATCCCAATGCTGCCACCGCCAGAATCCCCACTCCGCCGTGGGTTAAAGGTCCTCTCCGCCTCCAGCCGCACGAGCTCGCCAACCTCTCCAACAATCCTCCCAAACCCCGCAAACCCCTAGAATCCGCAGAAGAAAAGGCCGACAAGGCGCTCACCGCGAAAGAAAGCGGTGTGCGAGGCAAGAAAGCCATGTCCAAAATCGTTCGAAGCATCGAAACCCTCCCCGGAAATCAACAGCAATCGCCGGTGGTGGTGGATTCCTCCTCCTTCTCCCTGGGAAGTTCTGATTCCGACGATGCGAATAAGAAGCTCCCCTGGGTGAGAGAAGAGAAGGTCGTGCGCTACAGATTGAAGAAGGACAAAGTGGTGACTCAAGCCGAGTTGGTTCTTGATCAGGACCTGCTCGAGAGATTGAGAGCCGAAGCTGCTAGGATGAGAATTTGGGTGAAGGTGAAAAAGCTTGGGGTGACGCAGCGCGTGGTTGATGAGATAAAGTCGGCTTGGGAGACCAATGAGCTCGCCATGGCTAAGTTTGACCTCCCACTGTGTCGCAATATGGATAGGGCAAGGGAGATTGTTGAGGTTTGCAGATTACTTAACTTTGCATTTCCTACCACGTTTTAATCAAGCATTCTGAAATCAGAGATCAAACTGATGGAGTTAATGGTTCAAGGTGAAACAACAGAACTGTTTAAAAACCGTTATATAGTGATATAGACTTGGTCACTCGTCCATGATTTAACTGGCACAGCATTACCAATAGGACATGGGTATCACAAAATTTTAAGATCACTTTCTGATCTTAATTTAATTTATTTCTGTGTCTATTGGCTGGTGTTTTGTTTGATCAGTTGAAGACTGGAGGCTTGGTTGTTTGGACATGGAAAGACAGTCTTGTTGTGTATAGAGGATGTAATTACGAAGTGGCTAAAAATTCTGGTATAAGCAATATGGTTGATGATGACATATATGGAATCCCTGGGGAAGAATTGTCATTGTTTCAGAGAGAAGGAGATAGGTTATTGGAAGGCTTAGGACCTCGGTTCGTTGACTGGTGGATGCCAAAGCCGCTGCCAGTGGATGCTGATTTGCTGCCTGAAGTGGTTCCTGGATACATGCCTCCTTCAAGGCGTTGGCCTCCTTATGGTCGGCCTCAGCTGAAAGATACAGAGTTGACAAGCTTGAGGAAGCTTGCTCGTATTTTACCCACCCATTTTGTTCTTGGTACTTTCTCACAACTCTGAGATTTTTATTGTTTTGGGTCTCCTGAGTTAAGCATGTTTACTAATCTGTTGGTTCGTGAGACCCGCGGTGCAAGTTGACATTTTTTTTTTGCTGGTTTGCGAGATCAAACCATTGCATGCATAGAAGAGTTTTAGCATTGAAAATACTCAATTTTACCTAGGAACTCTTTTCTTCTTTGTTGCAGGGAGGAATAGAAGGCTTCAGGGTCTTGCTTTTGCAATCTTGAAGTTGTGGCAGAATAGTAACATAGCTAAAATTGCTATAAAGTGGGGAGTTCCGAATACTGACAATGAGCAAATGGCAAATGAGCTTAAGGCAAGTTATGAGATGAAGTTACCTACATTGTTGTAATTTCCTCCTGGGTTTGGACCTGCTAACTTGATCTTTCTGAATTTGACTTGAAAGTTTTCATTTTTCTTTCATCGAGCATACTGTGAGTTGCAAAGTGATTTCCTGAACTTTCTAGCTGATCTGTCCGGCAAAGCTCACCACATTGTGTCATCCGTGTTTAGTGGTTGACATTCTACCTCAGAATTGTCTACCATCTCTATTTACTCATGCAGCGACCTAAGAACAAGAAAACTGCTTCATACAGAAGTTTGCAGTCTTAGGCTCAATGTTTGACTGTGAATTTTAGGGTCACTCTTGCTTTACATTAGTCTGTAGTTAATGCTTTTTTTAACACTCATGTCCTGTATGCAGCGTCTGACAGGTGGAGTGTTGTTGCTTCGGAATAAGTTCTTCATAATACTATATAGAGGTAAAGACTATCTCCCTTCTGAAGTTGCAACGTTGGTATCTGAGAGAGAAACTGAGATACGGAGATGCCACCTGGACGAAGAAAGCTCACGAAAGAAAGCAGCCGACTCAGTCCACATTGTCGTGGATCCATCGCTGAACAGCAGCAAAACAGGAACCTTAGATGAATTTCGGGATATCCAAAACAAGTTTGGGGGGTTGGTTAAGGGGAAAAAGGAGAATGAACTTCAATTAGAAGCTGAGAAGGCAAACCTTGAAAGGGAATTGAGAATCCAAGAACGCAAGCTTTTCATTGTATGGTTTCACTTTCAGATTCATTCAGTCCAGTTATTTGTGACCGAGTTCATGTCGTTTAAAGAAAATGTCTGGATTTTGCAGCTCGAAATGAAAATAGAGAATTCCATGAGAGAGTTGACTAAGTTGAATTCTGAGTGGGTGCCCGCTGAGAATGATGCTGACCGTGAAATACTCACAGATGAGGAGAGAGAATGCTTCAGGAAGATTGCACAAAAGCTGCGTAGTAGCTTGGTTCTTGGTAATATATGCTTACTTTTTGATACCCCATTCAACGTCTCGCTGTATGTCCTATGAACAGTTTTGAAGTCCCTAGATTTTCTGTACCCGTCCATTTCTCACTTCACAGTCACTGAAGTATGGGGATAATCAATAATGTTAGAAGTAGAGCATGTCTTCGGAAAAGCTTGCTGGTTGGGGATCAGGGGATCTTTTCTTTGCTTGGTGTCTGCCATCGTTGTTTCTTTTTTTAAGAATTTGGTTTTGTTTTATTCAGGCAGGCGTGGGGTGTTTGACGGTGTGGTGGAAGGGTTGTATCAGCACTGGAAACACAGAGAAGTAGTTAAGGTTATTACCATGCAGAGGACGTTTACACAGGTCATTTATACGGCTAAATCACTTGAAGCAGAAAGTGGCGGGATTCTTGTGTCAGTGGAAAAGTTGAGCAAAGGTCATGCTATAATACTCTACCGTGGTAAAAACTACAGGCGGCCTCAAAAATTTCATTCTGAGAATCTTCTAACGAAACGAGAAGCATTGCAGAGATCAATTCTGATGCAGAGGATTGGGGTTAGTAGATACTCTCTTTTCATATCATCTATGTAACTCGTGATTTCCCAGATTTTTCATTTATACGACATCTCATCCTCTTTTTTTATTTGTTTTTTGCCTTTTCTTCTTTGATTTGTGCTGGCCTTATTGACAGTCATTGAAGTTTTTCGCACATCAAAGACGACAGGCTATCACAAATATGAGGTCTGAGCTGGTATGGTTCTGTCTTGCTTTCTGTATGGAATTTCCTCTCTGTTTATTCATTAAAATTTTTTTTGTCTCTGTTCTGCCTTAGTTTCCTGCACTTCCTCTCATAATGTGAAGTTACTGGTTATGTTGGGTTGGAGGTCCTCCGTGTTTTAATGTGTTGATATGTCTCACAGGAACAACTTCAGAAATCTGAGGAAAGGAATGGAATATCAAAATATGTCAATCAGTGACCTGGGCAGTAATTCTTCCTGAACCCTAGGAGCAAATAATGCCCTCTCACTCAGCAGCTGCTGTTAATTCGTTGAATGTCTGATGGCAATGGATATGAAGGGTTGTCATGTGCAGGTACCTTCTTTCGTTACTGTATTTGCTTCCCTGCAGCAGTAAACCTGTGTGACATGTTCTGAAATGTTCACAAATTCGCAAACTTGATTCCATTCTGTTACCCGTCTTAGAGTTTGGTGCCCACACTCCCTATGAAGGAAAACGGCCGCATGACAGCTTCGCCAATATAGACAATCCAGCATTGATGAATAATATCTAGCCAATATAATGAAGGCTTATAAAAACCTTCGTCAGATCTCCTGACACCCATAGAAGGCCATTATTTATGTTGTTGCAGCATGTCTTACCTGAAATCAGTTGCACTTGCTTACCTGAGGCATCTATCAGCAGCACTTGCTTTCTAGACGTGTGCAGCGATTCACCCTGGTAATTATGGATGATAATCAATTGAAGTTCGGTATCTACAATAATGCAACTATGAATTTGCTTATGTGGTCTTCTGTTGGTTTGTCTATGAGTTCCAGCTGTCAGAGTCAAAGTGAAAAGGGCTTTATGGTGCCAGCCAATGATACAGAAACTTTACTCGAATTGCTGGTTGGCATGGAAAACTATGGCAGAACCGGAACTGATCCCTCTCCCTTCACTTGCTCCATGGCTGACCAGTATGGATTCAGATCAGATTTGTAAGTGATTCTATGGTTGTTTGAATTCCAGGTGTACTGCCATTTTATCTGTCTTACTAATATGCGCGTCATTGCCGTTGTCTATCAATCTGCACAGCAACATTTACTCATTGCCACCACCAATCCACAACTGCTGCTTCCACGGCGGACGAACAATACACAGACCAGCTTCGGAAGGGGACCTGCAAACCTTCTGGCATCCCTTTCAACTGGTTATGTTCATCTGGAATTCCCTCCAGCTGTTCTTAGTTGTGCCGCCATGAATTCCTAAATAACTCTCGACGAATGAATTTGATTTGTGGTTCCAATAGCTGTTAATTTAAATCAACATGTACGTATATTGGAGCCTGAATGATGTACAAATTACATCACATTTGAGTTGAGTTGGAGAGAGTCGTTTTTACAGCACCAGAATATGCAGAGATGATTTATGTTCTCTTTTACCTTTTCTTTTTATCATGCTTAGTCATCCTTCCCAAATACATACATTATTTTTAACATCATGTGAAAGGAAAAAAATAGATAAAATTACAGGTCTCAGTCTAGCTAGGGTATTATATCCTTGCACATAACAGCAACATCACAAACTGACCCTGAAGTTCGGGGACGCAAGCAGCATAAAGCAAGGGTCATTGACGATGAGGCTCTCGTCTCTTTCCCTTGGGGTTGGGATGTAACCCTTAACTCACCAGACCAAGCCTCGTTTCCTTCTAATAAATCTATCGACGCGGTCAATGCTCATTCGAGATTTCTCGTGCTTGCTCGACTTCTTGGACTTCTCCAGCCGACTGTCTAAACTGTTTCTCGACATTTGAGGTGGCGGTGGAAGCTCTGCTGCTACCAATTCAAAAGTATCTTCTGCGGTTCCAGGTGGGTCCGGTGGTGCTTTATTCTTACTCTCTGCCTCTGATGATATCGTCGTCTTATTGGGCTCTGCATTAGCCGCAACAGAGGCTGCTGCTTTTGCAGATTTCCCCAGTGAGACTACAAACTTCTTGAGATGCTTTATGAATTCTGGATATAGCTCGAGGTTGCAGTGCCCCCCTCCAGTTATCCATAGAGGTTCGTATTTGTTCTTACAGAGATCCCACAGCTGTCTTCCATGGGAGCAATCCACGACTTCATCTGCTGTTCCCTGAGAGTTTGGAATAACCAAATATGAATCAGCAACACTTAGGAAACCCCTATAATGGGTATAAGTTTTAAGAAAATGCTATTACTTCATAGGGACAAAATTGGAAACGAAACTTTACTGGCGAGGTGCCTTTTAGTCTTAGATGCTAATAATTTGCGAGAAACATAGTGGAATAGTGGTTCCAAACTTGTAGAAGTGTGTTTATATTAACGTTTAAACCAAACTTGTTTCAAATTGCTTATTGTTCAGCCAAACCAAACACACCCTTGTTTGGTCAAAAGCTACTGTGACCTATAGAAACCATGTAGGCAAACTGGCTAATGAATTTTAGTTGACACTTCTTATATGACGATCAAGCACGCAGTTTGCCAACTCTATTCTCAATCTATGTTTGAAATAAAGTCAACTAATTACGTTAGGAATTCAACCCACATTTACAATGTACTTGATATTAGTGCACAGCAGCAATATATTCTTTCTTGCGTTTTGTCATTCTAATTATCATAAGACGGCTAACATTAGATGTTTCAGATTATATAGACGAGTAACTTGTCTGACATCACCCTTCCAATATTTGTCTCCAAGATTCAGCTATCCTGAATCAGCCAACCAATAAACTCGCAAAAACATGCATCTCAACGTCAAAGGACAGTAAGAAGCAGAATGTATATGGCTAACTTACTGCAACCCCCTATGATGCTGACATCTATTTTCCATCAAGCTCTATTTTCCATCAAGCGGAGTGAGAAGATGGAGGAAACGATACTTACGTGGATTATCAGGACAGGGCACTTCACCAAACTGATTTTGTCAATGTTCTGAAAAAATGAAAGTTTCATATAAGACGGCACATGCTGATGAAGTTACCAAGCCATGAAAATACATAAAATGATATTTTACCTTGTAGATGTCAAACCAGTAGGTTCTTTTAACTTGGTATAACACCCTCATGCCAGAAAGAAGTGGACTGTGAAGAACCACACCTCTCAAATTGGGTAAACGGGAAGCAAGATCGACTGTGGGTCCACTACCAACAGACTGACCATACAATATCAGGTCTTCATCTTTGACCCCATACTGCTCCCTTAGGCAATTGTAGGCTGCATCTATGTCTGCGTATGTATTGCATTCTGTTGGCTGTCAAAAGTAAAGAATATAGTATATTCAGCCAAGAATACATGAACTTCTTGCTATAGATTGATTAAAAAAGCAATTACTAACTCTCACTTTGCATTTTAGCTGTGCAAGAGAGGAAGATACAAAAGTGGAGAAATAACACAATGCAAATATTAAGGAGTGTACATAGAGACGAGCAACGTAAATAGACAAACAAAAGGAGGTAAATCTTACCTTTCCACTTGACCGTCCGTAACCAGAGTAATCGTAGCTGGGAAAAGAAGGAAATCAAACAAACGTTACAGCACAGATTAGTCCAGAAACAGATTGATAAGTAAGAACAAATAACTAAACAAATATGGTTTAAAACATCTATGTTCATATTCCAGAAGTTAGCTTCTGTACAAAACTACATTAAGGCATGAGACTTCAAACATGGCACTTAGGAGCTAGGAAACAGTTTCATACTATTCAATCAAATTACATGAATTGCTTCCAGTTGATAACATTCAATTGTTCATGTAGCTAAATAATCTAAGCACATGATAAAAAAGCCAAATCTTACTGCAAACGTTTTACAGATGATCGATGGATAAGGTACAACACGGAATTTTTTTTCCCTTTTTGCCTTTCCTCTTGTATGACCGTTATAATTTTTGGCAATAAATGCCACTAATCTTCATTAAAAAAAAAAGGAACATGGAAATAGAGTTATTTCTATCATGGGAAACTGGCAAGCTATACTAGAATGATAAGCTCCCCAACCTTCAACCTATTATCAGAAATATTATGAAATTTGTTGCCCTAATAAAGTCGGTGACAGTAAATGCAAGCCCAAAAGTAAAACATGTGCTAATCCATACAAATCAACCAAAAAAGTCACATTTCAGTTTTCACAGAATCACAGCCAGTGGGTTTATTTCAAATCTTTCCTAGCACAATAAGCCCAATTATGTTTCTTCAGAAAATTAATCTTATAGATGGCATTATGTTATAAAAAATTGTTCTTCACGGAATTCATCCAACTAAATCTTCTAGACGAAGATACAATGAACAGGCCCACGTCGTTTTCACGCTACACCTATATGTGAGGTTTCCAAAGCCTAAGGTATATCTTATAACTTATACTTCTTAAATTATTGCTCCTTAATGGCAGGCTCTTAGAAGTCGTCCCAGTAGTTTCAAATTGGGACCTCAAAGTCAGGTTCAACCATACCTCTCTAACTAATTTCAACATCTAGTTACTCCAACTTCTTTTCCTAATCTTCATTCTACATCAACTGCAGTTTCACAATAATGTTAAACATGTTAAACTTCTACCCACTATGTTGGGTTCTCAGTACCAAAAGTAAAAAATACCAAAAAACTAGAACAAGTACCAAAATTGATGGAGGTTGAAGAGATTAACCATTAATAAGAGACTGCTTCTATGACATATTGTGGTAGCGCATAACTATGTTCAATACATGACAATTTGAACTTCTAAACACTTAGAGGTAGAATGCAATAAAGCAAATCTATCGGTAGACATAAGCTGGGCCTGGTGAAACAGTTTCGTAAAACAATCATACATTATCTAAAATTCAAACTTGTTTTTCTCAGTAAGAAGCTACTAGAGCATGTTCATCAAAACTACGAAACCAGAAATTGGGTCATCCTGCTATAAAATGAGACAAGTACCATTGCAGCAGGACAGGCGTTGTAACTTCTATAACCTATGCCTACTATATTTCAAGTAGGAACTTCTAACAAGCCTAATTTCCTTCGTTCACACAACAGCCATAATCCCATTCGCACATGTAACATCCTTATATGCATGTAAGGCTGTAAACATTAACAGTCATGGCATTTCCAGTATGCGAATGAACTGGCTGTTTGTGTGTTTCACATCAGCATAGAAATACCTGATCTTTTAACAGCCAACAAGCACGACTCAAGCGAGCATGATTCAATGGTGTTCTGGACCACCCCACTAATTCTACTTTGAACGGAACACAACGTTATCCATTAGATGTTAGGCAAGGGAATCAACAGCAATGGAATTCTGAAACCTGAGGTTTTGATGGCTGAGTTGCAGAGTTTTTCTATGGCATCAAATCAAGACATAAGAAGAGAAAAAAGGGAGTAAGGAGCTGCAAAATGAATTTTACCCCATGAGGTTAACCCGGAGCCGATTGCTGAGCTCGATGAAGAGCTCGTACATCTGACCCAAATCCGCCGCATTCCCGTGCGAATACAGCAGAGTAGCCGTGGCCCTGCGATGCTTGATATGGACGGCCACGATTTCGTTCCCTCGCCTAGTGGACAGCTTCAGAACATCCACGTCATCCCTCCTCGGCAACTCCGGCATGTACAGCTTGCCGCCACCGCTAGAATCATCAGCTACCACCGTGTACGACGGCGGAGTCGGAGGGAAGAAAGCAAATTTCGCGGCAATTGACGAGGTGACTCCGCCCATCTCCTCCCCTTCTCCCTGCCGCCGCTGCTGCTGCTGTTTGTACTGTTACTGCTGCTTTATCAGTTGTACTAACAATCATCAGAAGCTGAGGATTCATAAAGGAACCACCAACCCGCACCCCCTTGCACTCCCTCCTCCACCTCCTCTAATTTTTTTCAGATCTCTGGGAAATTTTTAACAAAAAAAGGCAGCGATGAAGCAGAAGAAGAGCGGGCGGAAGGAGCCGGAGAGTGGGAAAGAGAGAAAGGGGGAAAAGAAGGGGGGGTTTGAGAAAGGAGATGATGGGAAAGCGCTAAGATAAGAAAGCAAAAAGGTGGGGGGAGTGTGGGCGGGTTGGGAACGGCGGCGCGTGAGGGAAACCAGGGAGGCGCGTGTGTAGAGGAGGAAAGCCGTGTCGAAATTGGGAATTAGAGGGGGAGAAATTCATGGAACCAACACCATTGAATCTTTGATTTGAACGTTGAGAGTTAAAGCTTTCAGATAGAGTTAGAGGGGGAGAAGGGGGACACGACTCGGTGGAGTCTGTCGCTCCATGACGGCGACGTTTGAGGGATTTGCTTCGTTGGCCTCCAGAGTCCAGCCCGTCCGCCCGCCAATACAATAATAAAAATCAAGGTTGTTAAATCTTTACGGATCGGTTGATTAAATTCGGTCTAACCAAAATCAAACTTTAAAATGATTTTCATGGAATCGATAAGTGGTCTAACCTTTAAAGATGGAGAAGAAGAGAGAGGGAAGGAGAGGAGGAGGGTGATGGTGGGTGGTGAATCAGCGTTTCGATTAGCCACGTCCAAAAGAAAACTGACGGTTAACGGAGATTAAAAAAGAGTGACCAAACATAAAACGTTTGTCCAGTTTCAGTGTCATATCATAAGCACCCACAAATCGAGAAATTGAATGAAATAAGCATCTTACCAGAGAAAGCCACGAAGGTCATAAATCATAATACAGCAAAGGTTCCTCCGATCCATTGCTTTCAGGGGGCCAGACTAATTGCTTCGTTTTAACTAACTCGTTTGCTTCATGGATTTGAAAAATGAAGGATTTGGTTAAAACCTGGGTTTTATAAAACCAAGGATTTATGATGGAATTGGTCCATTATGGATTTGGACCAAAACCTTGTTTGCTTGTTGGATTTCATGATGGATTTTGCTAAAATATATTAGTGGGTATGAGATACCATTCACCTTGTTGCCCTTGTTTATAATTATTTGTATATTATTATTTCCATATAAACAAAGTCGTTTAGAATTTCTTCGTACCTCTCCAAGATTTCAAGAGCTCAAAGCTATCATATATGCAAACAATCATGAAATCAATAGAATATTTGAAATATTTAGCATAAACTAATCTTCAGTTTTAAACAAAATGCTTCAATCATTGTTAGTTTGTTAACCAATACCCACTTACTCCAAATAGGCAAATACAACTTATCAGACATCATTAAACTAGTTGACGTACCCTACAATTATAGAATTTTCACGAGATTTGGGTTTTGTGCACCAAATCCATGATGAAAATCCTGAAGCAAACAAGGCCTAAGTTCGTTTGCTTGTAGGATTTTAAAAAATGTTGGATTTAGGTAAAACCTTGGATTTTATGATTGAAGGATTATGTGGGATTTTGTCACTTTGGATTTGTGTTGAATTTTAAGAAGTTCTTGTTTGTTTGTTGGATTTCATATTGGACTTTTGTCCTTGGGATTTATTAATTATAGGATGAATTTACAATTGTATCCTTAATGATTTGTGTCATTAAGGTTCCATATAGGAATATTGGAAAGAGATAAGGATAGACTTGTCATTTACCATAATGGATTTTAGCCTCCCACAAAATCCTGACCAAATGGGTAAGATTTTATAATCCGTGGACCCCACGGATTTTGACCCCAAAATAATCCCATATGCGTGGGGTCCACAGATCATAATCCAACATCACTTTAACAACAAACATGGAGTTTGTGCATAATCCCATGGATGTGGGATTTTGATCCAAATCCTACAAGCAAACGACCTCTTAACCTCCCACAAAATCCCAACCAAATGGGTAAGATTTTATAATCCGTGGACCCCACGAATTTTGACCCCAAAATAATCTCACATGCGTGGGGTCCACAGACCATAATCCAACATTATTTTAACAACAAACATGGACTTTGTGCATAATCCCATGGATGTGGGATTTTGACTATACAGAGGTGTTTGCTCCTGTAGCCAGGTGGGACACAATCAGAACCATACTGGCCTTGGCTGCCTATCATGGTATGACAGTTTATCAATTGGATGTCAAATATGCCTTTCTTCATGGAGAGCTTACAAAGGATGTTTACCTAGAGAAACCTCAAGGCTTTGAAGTTGCTGGGGAGGAACATAAGGTCTATAAACTCAAAAAGGCCTGGTATGGACTCAAGCAGGCCCCTAGAGCATGGTATAGCATAATTGAGGGCTATCTGCAGAAGACTAGTTTTGAGAGGTGTCCACATGAACATACATTGCTCATCAAGAATAAGGAATCAGGTATTCTTATTGTATCAATTTATGTGGACGATGTACTGTATACAAGTAACTGTGAAGAGATGATAGCTGAATTTAAGCACTCCATGGAATCTGAGTTTGAAATGACAGATTTGGGGAGGATGAGATATTTCCTGGACATTGAGGTAATGCAATCATAAAGTGGGATCTTCATTTGCCAACAGAAGTACATCAAAGAAGTTCTGGAAAGGTTCAAACTGGTTGATTGCAACTTTGTTAGCAATCCAATTACACCTGGAATTAAGCTATCTAAAGCTGGGGATGGAGTGTCAGTAAATCCCACAGAGTATAAACAACTCATTGGGAGTCTACTCTATGTCACTGCAACTAGACCTGAGGTGATGTACTTTGTCTGTCTTTTGAGTAGGTTCATGGAATCACCAACTAGACAACATCAACTTGCTGCTAAGAGGCTGCTGCGCTATCTAAAAGGAACTACAAGATATGCAATCTGGTACAAGAGATTGGAAGGAGAAAACAGGTTGCTAGGGTACACTGATTGTGATTATGCTGGGGATGTTAATGACAGAAGAAGAACTTGTTATAAACGCACTGCTACGGATCGGGAAATCGCCGGAATCGATAAAGCAAGAATACGAAAGCGAGAATCGAAAAACACAGACACACGATTTACGTGGTTCACTAACACGATGTGTGTTAGCTAGTCCACGGGCAAGAGAGAGCCGGTTTCACTATATCGAGGAGATTACTGAATATAGAGGAGTATGAGAAGTATTTATAGTACTTCTCCATGTGGGTCTAAACCTAATCCAATTTGGCAAAGAAACGGTTACAGACCAGGCCCAGAACCCGAACCCAAATAACATTGAGCCCATACACCGCAGGCCGGGGGCGTTGCCCCTGGACCCCACTCGCTGACCGAGCAGCGAGACCCCACCCGACTACTAGTCGTAGCGGCTGATAGTCCGATTCAAGTCACATCAACAGCACCAGTGGTCATGTGTTCTTCCTTGCAGGTGGAGCAATTTCCTGGGCTTCTAAAAAACAACCAGTAGTCACCCTCTCCACTACAGAAGGTGAATTCATTGCTGCAGCATATTGTTTGGCTCACTGTGTATGGCTGAAGAGGATTCTGGAAAGCTTGGGATGGAACTCGAGTGCAGAAGGCTGTACAACTATTCTCTGTGACAATAGCTCAGCAATTAAATTGTCCAAGAACCCAGTGATGCATGGAAGAAGCAAACACATCGATGTTAGATACCACTTCATCAGAGATCTGGATAAGGAAGGGGTCATAGAACTGGAACATTGCAGCACATATGAACAAGTGGCAGACATCATGACCAAGCCACTGAAGCTAGAGAGCTTTCAGCTCCTGAGGAGCAAGTTGGGAGTATGATCTTGCAGAGTTTACAGGTGAAGAAGTGAACTGAAGTTTGGTTCCAAACCGGCTTCAGTTCAGGGGAGGATTATGTTGAAGGTTGAAGAACAGCAGCATGAAGAATCCGAATCCTTTCAGGAAAAGGATTCCTTATGGCGCCAAGTTCAAATGTTAGGGTCAAATAAAGGAAACGTGTCGTTTCAGTTAGTAGAGTCATTCGATTGGTTTATGTCTATTCTAGTCCTTATTTGTGTAGAATGTATGATTGAGTCCTGTTAGTGGTTAGTCTTGTTAGAGACTTTGTAGCTGTTAGTTGGGTCATGGTTGCTGATTTGTAGGAACCATAAGTCAGAGAGTGGGGTTGTGCAAGGTCACGTTGAGACTGGAGCACAAGGGTTTATATTCTCGTCATTAGCCAATTAATAAAGATGTCAGATTGCAAGCAATTGAGTGACCAAACATAAAATGTTTATCCAGTTTCAGTGCTCCCACAAATCGAGAAATTGAATGAAATAAGCATCTCACCAGAGTAAGCCACGAAGGTCATAAATCATAATACAACAAAGGTTCCTCCGATCCATTGCTTTCAGGGGATCAGACTAATTGCTTCGTTTTAACTAAGTTGCTGAACCTTTGGATGCTTCTGCTTCACTAGCCATTTTGTTGGTGTGAACCTGCAATTATATGCAACGTACGTAACTACTTTTGAAAAAAAAAAACCAAAGGCAGAAAGTGAAGTGATGAATCTAGAGATTTTATAGGAGCTCCATTGAGAGGAGCTTGGGGGATGACCTTGTAGCCAGAGGCCAGAGCCATCGAAATACCAACCATGACTAACGACATTGCGACGTTCCCCATCGATCAGTCCTTCCTTTGAACATCAGAGCCAGGCGGTGCAGACACATATCGTCGAACACCTTCCGTGCATTCTCGTTCTTGTCCCACCATACCACAATGTCCATTCCCAATACCTTCTTCAGCAGGGAGCATGATGTTTTTGCAGAAATGGAGGTTCTAGTGACTGGTGGTGATGAGACAATGCAAACTTGGCTAATTGCAGTGGGGAGCATGATGTTTTGCAACATGTTTTGTTGAGATTTTGATAGTTTTCTTTTGATTTATGGGTTACATATTGTGATGCTTTAGTTTATTAGTGAGTCCCCCCCCCCCCCCCAAGTAACACTATACTTAACTAGGCAGTGTATTGTGGAAAGGATTAGAATGCTAACACTTTTTTCTTAACATGATTCTAACACTAATTTCAACAAATAGAAATATTTTGTTTGGATAATTTTTATTTTGAATTAGTTTATCACAATTAATGAGGGAGAGGAAAGGAGGGCATGCTGATCATTCATCAAAATTGGGGAGAGGAGGATGACCAACGTGTATTGTGCAATTAAATGGGAGAAGGGTTGGAGACCATCAAACACATATCACAAAATCCAGACCACAGCCTTAGAAATGAGACCACAACATCACAAAAGTAATAAACCACACCACAAACTCATGAAGCTAACCACAAGAGTCATGAAACACTCACAAGTAAGTAGACCTCAAGTCCCATAAAGCACAGGGCAAGTTTATTGAACCACACTAGAAAACCCATAAAGCATACAACAATTTTTAGGGGTGTTAGTCGGTGCGGTTTCGGTTTAACCGGACCGAAATATCGGTTAACCGCAACCAAAATTGTCCCAAGATCACTAACCGAAACCGAAACCGACATAGACTTTGGTTAACCGAAAACCGCAAACATCGGTTTCGGTTTTCCCTTGCGGTTAACCGAAACCGCAGGTTCTGGTTCACTTTCTCGGTTTTCTTTCAGAAACCGACCACCCAAAACCGAATTTCAACCACCTTTTTTAATGATTCACCCTCAATTTTGAGTGACCTGCTTTTGTTTCAACCTCTATAATCACACACCATAAAGTCATCTAAATCAATTGAACATAAAGTCTAAAGCAACCACACAATTCAACCACAACTCCACAACATAAAGTCTACATGCCCACAATTCAACCACAAATCACAATCACAACAAGACACAAATAACAAGTTCATTATCTCCAAATCATCAACCTAAATGATCTGAGGATCTCGCTCCAATTCATCTAGCCCGTAGTCATCATTTACTCCAAGATCTTCATCTAGCCCATAGTCATCAACCTAAGGTTCACTCTATCGAGTGCAAAAGGGATTTAGAGAGGGGTGACTTTCGAGTTCTAACTCTTAAAAACATTTGAGACTCTTGATGGAGGGTTGTTTGCAATAGGTGAGAATTGGGATGTTTGGAATTGCAACTTTGATTGGTTTTGAATCTTACAACTTTCTCCCTTAGCCAAAGTAAAAAACCATGTAGTCACACTAGTAGGCGGTTATCGGTTTTCTTATCGGTTAACCACTAACCAAAATACTACTAACCGAAACCGAAATCAATAAGTAAGTAGCGGTTATCGGTTAACCACTAACCGACTTTATCGGTTCGGTTATCGGTTAAAACCGATAATCGACTAACCGTTTATCACCCCTAACAATTTTATTAAAGCAAATCACAAGTTTGAACACCCTAATTTGCTGAGTACACCAACCGCATATACCACGCCAAAGCTACTCTTTTTTTTTTGTCAGAGATATCCCAAAAAGAAAATACAACATAATAAAAGAACCTTTGCAGGTCAAATTACAAAAAAGAATTAAGGAAAAACCGCTGGTCGACCAGACGATCCCTTGTCAATATTTTTTTTTATTTGTACTCTATATATTTCAAATAGCATAAAATATTAGGTTGGCTTTTATTAAATGAACACGTTCATGATGTTTGTATACTTTATTACATAAAATGCTACGATATTAGAGCTTTCAAATTCCCTTGGCATGCAGCCCCTCTACAAATGACAACTATCTCCGTCACTAGCTAATAGTGTCACAGTTAATTATTCAAAGGGTTTATTTTATTTTATTTTTTTTCCTCTTAACTTAGAGGATGCATGTGGTTTCTTTCTTGACTTGGCCTCCACTAGGCTGCAAATGAGCCGAGTCGAGTCGAGTTTTACCCCAGCTTGAGCTCGGCTCGTTAATAAACGAGTCGAGCTCGAGCTCAGCTCGTTTATTAACGAGCCGAGTCGAGTCGAGTTCGAGCTAGCTTGTTTATTAAAATCTTAACTTTTATTTGGTACTTCATTTTGTATATCATGATACATATGATTTCTTTTGTTAGTTAATCTCATCTTATACTTTATACTTTGTTGGTATCATATATCGTTTAGTTAATAAATTTTAACTACTCCAAATCATGTTATTTCATTGTATCGAAGCAATCTATGATGCATAATTTCTTTTTAAAGTAGAAAATAAGATATATTTGCTCACATACTCAACGTGCAAAACTTTATATATGGTGAGATATATAAATTAACAACCATATGAATTAAAATTATAAGATATAGATTGATTCGTCCATAAGTTGATAATCGAGTTGGCTCTCTAGCCACATGTTAAGACATATCATGAGCTCTAAACGAGCCAGCTCACGAGTTTAGCTCAACAAGCCACCGAGTCGAGCTAGCTTGCGAGCTTCACGAGCTGAACAAATGTGAGCTCGTGTTCGACTCGTTTATTAACGAGCCGAGTTTTGAACGAGCTTTTCTCGAGTCGAACGCCGAGCCGCTCGCGAACAGCTCGGCTCATTTGCAGCCCTACCACATCAGTAGCCGCAGGAAAATGTGAAATTAAAGTATTAAACATACCTGACTCAAGTCTTCTCTAGTGACGGGCCAAGCCAGGAAAATCCTCCCCCGGCCCGCGTACGCTTGTTGACCAGACCGCCATGCCGTTTCCTTCACCGCTTTGAACTAAAACAATAGAAGCTTCTCCCTCTCTCTCCACTTTCGTCAAATTCGTCCCATCTTTTCTATACTAATTAATTCAAAACCCCGTACTCTAATAAAACCATTTCTGACCACATCTCTCTCAAACCAGACAGGCAAAACCAAGAAGAACCCAAACATGGTTTCCCGTTACTGCTCTTCCTTCTCCCCATCCCTCCTCCTCCTCATACTCTCCACCCTCTTCTTCTTCTTCTTCGTGATCATCTCCGTTTCAGCACAAGAAGACAACGACCCGGACCAGAGGTACCAGGACTGCGCCCGCCAGTTCGACTGCGGCGACATCCAAGCCACCTATCCTTTCTGGGGCGGCGACCGCCCCATCCACTGCGGCCTCCCGGAGCTCAGCCTCACCTGCAATTCCACCACGCAAACCACGTTCATCACCGTCCTCGACCTCACTTATCAGGTCCTCCGGGTCGACACCGCCAACCGGATCCTAACCGTGGTCCGAACCGACTACCAGCGCGGTCTCTGCCCCGCGGATCCCTCCAACACCACCGTCGAATCCACCCCGTTCTCCCTCGCGCCGGACACCCAGCTCGTCACGCTCTACTACGGCTGCTCGCTCCTCGGGAACGGGATCCAGGTATTAGAGTATGCATAGTACGAGTAGTATTATGTTATACTGCGAGTTATTATTATGTTTCTTATAAAAGTTAGAAGTCAGATATTTTTCATATTAGTATTAGGATTATTATTACAAGTTAGTAACCTTATGTAATTTTAGTTAAAGTAATTATTAGCTTTAAAATTGGTTGGACGCAGAAGCTCCAACCATTCACATCTGTGTCCAACCAAAATTGAAGCTAAGAATTTTTCTTTTAATAATACGACACAATTATTTCCATCGTATTCTGATTTGTCAAACACCAGGCACCCGCGAGTCTGGGGCGGTTCGATTGCAGCAGTGGCAGCGGCAATTCAGGAGATTACTTCGTGACGAGCGAGGACGTGGCGGGGTCCTACGAGGCAGCGATCAGGACGTTGCTGGGCAGGTGCGGGACGAGGGTGACGGTTCCGGCGAACCGGACGGCGGTGGCGGGGCTGGAGGCGTCGCCGACGGCGGAGAGGCTGGAGGCGGCGATTGGGGAAGGGTTTGGGGCGAGGTGGACGGCGAATGACAATCTGTGCGCCACGTGTCAGGCGTCGGGCGGGCAGTGCGGGTCCAACGAGGGGTCGTTTACTTGCTTTTGTATGGATCGGCCGTATGATTCGGAATGTAGCAGAGGCGCGCCTGGTCCGGCGGCGGCTCAGACTGGTACGCTTTCTTTTTTTACTCTTTTAACTCGTTTCCTTCCGGTTCGTTTTCTGGGACGCGTGATTGGAAAATGAAACGTTTCGTTTAACTCGTTTCTCGGGGCGCGGTCATGCTTGGGGGACTAGTGGGTGGGCTTTGAATGGCGCACCATTTGGGCCGACCGAATTTAACGTGATAAAATCAGGATAGTGGATAGGAAAACTCTCTTAGCAAAACCGTAAAAATCTAGCAAAATCACGGTTGTTGGTGTATTGTCTAACGCCTAATTCACTTAGGCATCGTCTAATTGTATTTAGACGTTGGAAACAAAATTAGTTATTTACACTTTATAAATGAATACAAATTTACAACTCCCTATTTTAGTTCAAATGATAAATAATTTACTTAACAATTAACAACATGAAAAATAGCTTACAAGTTTATGTAATCATAGTTCAATAGCTTATAAAGTCCTTGAGCTATTGAAACTAATGATATAGATCATCGAGTTTGCAGATTATATTGATTTCTCCCTTTTAATATTGACTACTTAGCTCACTTTAAATATTTCTAGGAAACCCCCAGGTGCCTATTTACTCCACGACATGTTCTTGATTCCTAAGTGGTTGTAGAACCATTAGGCGAGGCATTTTGGTGTTGCCTAGCGTAAATTTAATTTAATCACGCTTTCTTGAACTATGAGCAAAATAGTGATTTGAATTAATTTTTTCTCTAAAAAGAAAATAATAATATGAAAACACTAGTGTGAGAGTTGAGTATGGGAGAGTTCATTTCTCTGTTTCAACGGCTGCAATCAAATCCTCATAAGCACCCATTTCTCCCGAGCCATCGATCAGGTCAAATTGTGTGCCCTATTTTACCAGTTTTTTACGCAGTAGATACCTGAATTTTACTGGCAGCGGAAGGTGTTTACCACTTTACCCTCCTCGTCAAACCAAAAAGAGCATCGTGGAATACATTTCCAAAGTCAAACTCAAAGTCAAAACACGTAAATTGTGGTTCTTTTTTAAATTAATTTTTTATTATTTTACTATTGTGAGCCGATGGTCCAGTCCAGACATGTTTATTGTTTGCCAAAATTTCCTTCTTTTCCACGGTTATACAGCAATTTGCGGTTCCGCCTAACGGGGCTGGGGCCCTTTCGTTTTGGGCTCTAGTAGCCCGGGAAATGCTTGTCATGTGAAACAACTAAGCCCAATAACTATCATCATTATTTTTTTGGTAAATCATTGTTTCTTTCAAGATGAATCACCATTAGTTTGTTTTAAAATTAACTATTTAAGATTTTTTCCAGTCTCTCTTCTCTTCATGTTTTGGTAAACTACCATCCCAGTATGTAGGATGACAATTTCGACCTGACCCGATTTATCCGACCTGTTTGGCCTGTTTTGGGGCGGGTCAGACCCGCCCCGTAGGCGGGCCAGGGGGGGCATGTGTATCTCTCATCAACCCGAACTGCCCTGACCCGCCCCATTCTCGACCCGTTCTTGCCTAAATTATATATAATCTTAGTCAAATTACTTAGGATTCTCCTCTTATTACATTATATTCTAGCTATAATAAAGTTGTAATTAAGTGAAAACCTCAATTTCTTCAATAATTTAATAACTAGATTTTATCATATTATGGTTTCTTTCTTGGTCTTTTATTGAAAATAACGAATATTTCTAATGTTGTTGACTTAAATTACATACCCATTGGGTCGACCTGCCCCGACCCGCGCCCCGTAATAAATTACCCGACCTGGACCTGACCTGCCATGGGGCGGGTATGGGTATCGAGATACCCGCCTCGGACCTGCCCCATTGTGATTCCTAAGTATGTCACGATATTAATATGTACGAAGTTTCACATATCGTTTTAACATATTATTACATTCAAAAGTTAGACGTTAGTTAGAAAATAGTTGCAAATTAAAAATGAATATAAATATATATACAAAAATTGTTAAATAATCAATTGAATTTCTTAATATACATGTATTAAACATATTGTACGTATTTTTTTTTTTTATATGGGTGATATAGATTAAAACGAAAAACAAAAAAGCGCCAGTGCAACTACACATACAAGGACACTCGCCGAGGGTAGCTAGAAGAACAAAATACAAAAGAGACAAAGGGCGAGGGGCGCAGAAGTCTAGCCCGACAGATAACCAGAAAAGGAAAAGGAAAATTAATCCCAACTCCGCCGACTCCGCCGACGGCCAGCGAAACTCCTTCCCAATCTCCCAATCGCCCAAGGAGGAGGGACGGGAAACGGGCAGAAACGATGCCAGAGAAAAACACCTGCAACAGCGGCCGCCCCCCATGAGATTGTACGTATTTTATATGTGAATCAAACAAACAAAGAAAAAAAACTGAAACGGTTCTACAATATTACGAAAAGGCACATTAAGTACGTATACGGAACAATACGAGAATGGTTACTCAATGTTATTGTCGATAAACACTTTGGGAATACTTTTCAACGCGTTTAAAGTTAAAAGGTTCCCAACACTATTACACTATATAATTCTAGAAGGTGAAAACTTAAAACAAACTAATGACAAGAACCTCTATCTTCTCCCAACTACTGCCATGGAAAATGCAAGCAACCTCATGAACACACACACATTTCATGCCTCGACGTGACGACGACCCCTCCTCCCTGAGTCTTCTATTTCCAGAAGTGAGATTCTTTCTAACAAGTTAGTTGTCGTTCACCAAACACTAAAAAAGAGTATTTTACTCCTAAATTGGCCGAAAGTCCTTTTCACATTTTTGTATAACGATTAACGAGTCTTAGGATGAGCAATAGAGAAAGCAGCCCTCATGGCCTCCTTGCAAGATTTTAAACTTAGAAAAATAAAAAAAAAATAAAAAAAAAATCGGGTTTATAAAAGTAATATCTTGAAAAAACTAGTAAACCACTCTCCAATATTTTAATCAAGACGTTTGAACTAACCTCCTTGGCTTATTACCTAGTCAGTCCACCAATAAGACAAGGATTAGAGTTGAGAGAGAAAATACAAGACGTAGATGGCCATTTGAACCTGTTCGTCGGAAATTATGTGACTTGATTTGTATTGGGGATAATATTCTATCAGCAGCAGCATGGGATGGGGTGTGAGTATTACTATCGCTCAGCCCCGCTTCATTCTTAATTCGTTCGATTTAGATTTCAACATCTATTTTTATCGTTACAAATTAAATAATTGTTTAAAAAAATAATATATAAGAATACATCAATATGTGCTGACGTGAACTCGCATTGGTATTATCGGAACCTGATCCGTGTTTGATGCAGAACGAGTATGAGTATTGAGGTATCCGCTCGTCCTCCCCATCACTTACCACAAGTGTTCTACACTAGCAGTGGCGGAGCCAAAAATCTCAATGAGAGTGGCCGACTTGATCCGTGATCATCGGAGGAGGGGGATTAAGGCCTTACCTACTACTGTGTTACATAAATCTGTCACAACTTTTACACGTAATTTTACCTATATTTCAAATTTGAGCAGGGCTATAATCCCTCATAGTTTCAACCTAACTCATCCACTGTACATTAACAACGATATTGTACGATTTAAGCTTTGTAAATAACTTATAAAATTACCTGAAAACATAAATTATGTGCGTGAATAATGAAACTTGGAAAATTTCTCTAATAATGAACCTAAATTGTAAATTAATTAGTAGTCCCCATCAGCCTAACACAGAGCAAAGTCCAAGTCAACCCTCCTTTGCCAACCCATTGCAACAAAGACTTCAATTTCCCACCAACTCTCCCCTGTTTTCCCCTTCTCTTCCTTCCTTCCCCTTCTCAATCCCCATGACCATTTCGCAGCTTCCATCGCAGCAACAATGTACCTTCTACCACTCTTCCCCTTCCTCTTCCTCTCCCTCTTCGCCTCCTTCGCCGCCGCATTGTTACCGCTCGACGGCAGTCTCACCGGCTGCAACGAGTCCTTCTCCTGCGGCACCACCATCACCAACATCGAGTTCCCCTTCACCGGCGGCCGGCGCCCTCACTACTGCGGCTTGCCCGGATTCAACCTAACATGCCTCGACAATTCAATCACCCTCATCACCATCAACTCAATTTCATACAGAGTCCTCCGCATCGACGAGTCCCGACCCACCATGACAATCTCCCGCTCCGACCTCCACGACACCGCCGGCTGCACCCGGGACGTCCAGAACACCACCCTCGCCGGATCCAACTTCACCGCCGCCGCCAACACCGAAACCCTAACCCTCTTCTACAATTGCAATTACACCTCCTCTGGCTACGGCGACTACAACCCTCCGAACCTCTTCACTTGTAATCTGGGGGGAGAGAGCGAGGCCGAGTTTTATCTGGCCGGCGAGGTCGCCGACGATGTCAGCAGCATGCTTCGCTCTCGCTGCAACACTTCGTTTACCGTCCCCATTTCTGATGCGTATGCTGGGGTGATGGCGAATGGGTCGTTGCTTTCCCCTGCTTTGAGATCTGGGTTCGATGTGAATTATAACGATTCGTACTGGGATGATTGTTTTCGGTGCTATGAGGAGAACCATGGCGCGTGTGGGTTCGATTCTGATTCTGGGAACTCGATTTGTATCTGTGGCGATCGGCTGTGTCCAGGTAGGTGTACATAAATCATGGCGGTTCCTTAACCGGGGGAAAAAACAGAGGACTCTGTTTTTTTCATGCTCTGTTTTTCCCCTGTTTCCCAGGGGGGACTACTTCTCCATGAACACTGAACCGATTCATGGCAAAAATGTTTGATCTGAATTCATATTCTCAACTGATGTTTCTGACGTATGATTCTTTTTTTTTCTGCAGAACGTAAATCGAACAAAACAACAGTTGCGATAGGTACGATTGCTTTCAAAATCTGAACTAGTCCTGCTTGCTTTGTAACATCAACGTTTCTCTGGGTATTCTTATGCCGTCGCTGCTTCGATTTTAATTTGTACAGGAGCATCGGCAGGAGCTGTGGCTGTTCTTGCAGGGATCAGCCTGTGTTTCTGGCTGTTTGTCAGACAGAGGAGGATAAAAAAAGCAGCACAAATTATGAGCAAAGATCTCTCCACGCCTCCATCTTCTGCGACGAAAGGAAGGACTACTCCCACCACCAATTACTCCATGACCACTTCCTCCTACAACACCACCACCACAGGATCCGGCAGCGTGAGAGGAGGCGGCGGCAGCACCTACTTCGGCGTCCAGGTCTTCAGCTTCGACGAACTCGAGGAAGCCACGGAGAACTTCGACCGCTCCAAGGAGCTCGGCGACGGTGGCTTCGGCACTGTCTATTACGGTGAGTCAATATTTTAACCCAGCAATTTCGAATTTGATTATCTTTATATTCGGTTTGGTGTGGTCCGATCCAGACATTAATTTTGTCTGGTTCGATCATGTACAGACCAACCCGTTGCACACCCCTAATTGGTAGATTAGTTTAGTTGATAGATCCATACGAGGTATAACATTGGACCAATATATCAATTTCAAAAAGTTCAATACTAAAATGTCATAATAATAAATTTCTGATACCAAAACGTAGTTTTCTAAATTATGCAACATTTAGGTATCAAAATGTGAAATATCTATTCTTGGCTGATTCGAAAACCCTTTTCGACACAATCTCAGGGCTGCTGTACGACGGGCGAGCGGTTGCCGTGAAGCGGCTGTACGAGAACAACATGAGGAGAGCCGAGCAGTTCATGAACGAGATCGAGATCCTCGCGAAGCTCCGCCACAAGAACCTCGTGACGCTCTACGGCTGCACCTCGCGCCACAGCAGGGAGCTCCTCCTGGTCTACGAGTACATCTCCAACGGCACCGTCGCGGACCACCTCCACGGCAGCCGCCACTCCCCCGACTCCGACCTCTCCGCGTGGCGCGTGAGGATGAACATCGCGATCGAGACGGCCGACGCGCTCGCGTTCCTCCACGCGTCCGACGTCATCCACCGCGACGTGAAAACCACCAACATCCTCCTCGACGACGACTTCCACGTCAAGGTGGCGGACTTCGGGCTGTCCAGGCTGTTCCCCACGCACGTGACCCACGTGTCGACGGCCCCGCAGGGGACGCCCGGTTACGTGGACCCGGAGTACTACCAGTGCTACCAGCTCACCGACAAGAGCGACGTGTACAGCTTCGGCGTGGTGCTGATGGAGCTGGTCACGTCGCTCCAGGCGGTGGACACGTGTCGCCACCGCCACGACATCAATCTCGCCAACATGGCGGTGAGCAGGATACAGAACCAGCAGCTGGAGGAGATGGTGGACGCGTGTCTCGGGTTCGACAAGGATTACGCGGTGAGGAGGATGGTGACGTCGGTGGCGGCGCTGGCGTTCCGGTGTCTGCAGCAGGAGAGGGAGATGAGGCCGAGCATGAACGAGGTTTTGGCGACGTTGAGGAGGATCGAGAGGGAGAATGACGGTGGTGGGGACCAGAAGGCGGAGGTGGTGGACATTGTTGTCGACGATGATGTTGGGCTTTTGCAGAATGTCCCGCCGCCGGTGCTGTCGCCGGACTCCGTCGGGAATGACAAATGGGTGAGTTTCGTTTCCTTTCCTTTCCTTTCTTCTACTACTACTTACTCATAGCTCATGTTTTGCTTATAATGGTTTTAGGGTAAATTGCAAGGTTGGTCACTCGAAGTGCTAAAAAGTTCATGTTTGGTCACTAAAAGTATTTTATTCTATTTACGGTCACTAAAAGTAGTTCTTCTGTTCGAGTTTGGTCACTCTCCGTTAGTCTCCATTAAGTTTAGCTGATGTGGCAATCAGCTCTAATAGTTGACTGTTAAATGAGTGACATGATAATTAAAAAATAAAAAATATATAATTTCCACATTATTTAACGGTCAACTATCAGAGTTAACTACCACATCAGCTAAACTTAACGGAGAGTGACCAAACTTGAACAGAATATCTACTTTTAGTGACCATGACGTGAATTTTTTAGTAGACCAAACTTGCAATTTACCCAATTGTTTTACTGTTATTTGTAACTGAGTTCTCTCCACGTGGGTTGGTTTTTCGTTTGTGCAGCAAAAGGTGATGAGAACGGTATGATCCAGTTTTTTTTTCCCTTCTTCCAGAGGATCATATTGATAGTATTAATTAATGACTACTTATGCAATGAGTAATCCAGCTTGCCAATTTTTATTTTTATTGTAACAAGGAGTTACCAAGTTTATCTTTCCCCCACCAACCCCTGGCCTGTTTGTATATAGTACTACTGGAACTTAATTAATTAGAGTTGGGTAGTGGGATTTAGAAGCAAGCAGTAGCCACTTTTTGAATGAATGTCCATGAATTACTTAGATGAATGGTTCTATCATAATCCAGATTTGATTTGAACATAGAAAGTATAGATTCACATCGCTTATTGTCGAAAGCAAAAATGGAATGAAATTCTATGATAAAAATAAAGACTTTCTTCTTGCTCGAGCTATGGCTGCTATTAGGAGCTCGTGTGCCGCTTTTTTGAATATTGATTATCTCGCGCCGTCTGAGCGGTTTCGCCTTTCCTCTTTCTGTGTCCTTTCGCTATTTACCCTTAATTACTTTCCCAGCTTTGAGTTCATTTCCTTTATTTTATTTGAGGGTACCACATATTTTGACTAAGAAAAAATGTTTTCCAGACCATGAACTGAACGAAATTTGTGGAATTGAACGAACTATGTGGCACGATACGATAACCCAATCCTTAAATATTAAAAGTTAAGTATTAATTCTCTAAATTTTATACACTAAGACCAACTTAATTAACAATAGTAATCGACGGTTATAATTCGTCAAAAAACCTGCACCGTTCCTTAGAGTTTAGAATTTATGATTTTGATGATTAGGACCTAGTGTTTACTTATTAAGAACTAGAGTATATTTTCATATGTCTCAAAATCTGATTAATTCGACGGTGGAAATAACTTTTTCTTATTCAACATATGCGTTACTCTCAAATTTAATTTACCCCGTACAATATAAGCCACGTATACTGATAGTTGGGCAGAAGCTGCTGCAGCAGCCTGCAGGCTGGTGTTGGATCGTGTAATGTTAATGCGTGTCCCTTTTTAAAAGCGGCAACTTCTGTACGTGCAGATCAAGGAATCGATGCCTTGACAAAATACACACATCCATCCATTATATTATGTTAATTAGCTTGATGAGGCAATCCAGTGGACTTAATCTTCATTTAGTTTACAATGCTCATTTTTTATCCAGTCTTGTTGCGCAATAAAAATAATAATAAGCTTTATAACATAGTTGACAAATATTACGATCCAACAAATATGAGCATGATTGTTTTCTTCTTTTACTTAATCTGCCTGCCACAAATTGTAACTTGTCTGTTTATCTATGGGCTCCTCCTTCCCTTTTGTGTTAGCATTTGGCACACATCCATCCAACCACAGCCCCTCCTTTTCCCCGATTCCTTCTTTTTGTTTTTCTGTTCTTAATTTCCAAGGAAAAGAATGGTTCAATGTGGGATAGACATCTGTAAGTATAATAATAATAATAATAATAATAATAATAATAATAATAATAATGCACCAACAAGATAAGCAAGTTGAAGAAAATTAATATAGTTCTATTGTGATGAGTGCATGTCGTCATCAATTGAATAATTCATTTTGAATTATTGATAACCCAGCAGAATCAAACAAGTTGATAAACCAGCATCATTGACCTTAAGCCAATGACTCACTTCTTCTCAGATTCCAGAATGTGGAGAAAACTAGAGTGATGAAGATCATATCTTGACAACCTTAGAGCATATAGATAGGGTTAGAGCATAATTGGGCATAACTAGGGGATTGAGCTTAATTATGAAAAAAGATTGAAAGAGATTCAGAAGAGAATGTGTAGGTGCAGATTATCTTCTCTCTCAATTTCATTGTCCCTTATCTGCTGCAGTGACTCTCTATTTGGTTGATTTAGCTGTGGTGCAACTTCAATTCCAACCCATCTTTTCATTCTTACATGACATATCCCATTTTAGACTATCATTTTATTTGTGATCCGCTTGTTTCATGCTGATAATTAAACATCTTTTTGTTTGTCATGTTCTTATTGCCTCACAACTTGTGGATATGTTTACTAAGCTCCTCTCCGCTCACTCCGCTACTCGATATCCCCCTATTCTAATCCAACTTTGAACTTGTTAACGCTACCTCCATCTTTCAAAGGCATATAAAAAATTTATCTTAATCTAACTCGTGTATTCGTTAAACAACCATCCTTTTTAATTATGTAACCTCTATAAATACCACTTGATGATAACATACAACACACACTACTTTCCTAGTATTGAGAGAAAAAAAACATTAGGAAACAACAAAATGTCATTTTCTTTTGATCAAGGAAAACAAAATGTCGTTTTCTAAAATGGTGTTTTGGAATTGGGAAAAACCTTTTCTTTGTGTTGGGACTCATACGATACCAAAGGCATCCCATCAGAGCAACCGTTCTGCGACTGCCACAGCCTGCCACGTGCAGAGCTGAAAGGCCTTCTACCGGCCTTGGGGGCGTAAATACCCAAATACCCCTCTCCTCCTCCCCCTAATCCCTAATTCCAAATTCATCTTCATCCCCTTAATTCCAATCGCTTTCTATCCATCTCCATTACACGCTAATTGAATCCGCCCAATTTCGCTCCACCTTTCCATCCGCCGCCGCCGCCGCCGCAGCAGCAGCTCAAAGCAATCCGATTCCTGAATTCCCCCTCCGGTGATCAGATCTTTCCTCCCTGATTCAAATAGCTCGATCCCCTCCTCTTCTCCCCCCTTTCGCCTCGACTCACAATGGCGACGCTGCAGAAATTCAAGCATTTCGCCGCGCAGTGTGGAGCGGCGTCGACGGGGAACCCGACGCATAGCCCAACCACCAGCCCGGTCGTCCACCTCCGCCGCCGCAAGACCCTCCGCATGCTCCTCTCTCGCGGCTCCCCCGCCGCCGACCACCACCGTCGAGCTATGGCGATGTTCGACGAGGGCCAGAAGCAGCGGCGGGATCTGCCGTCCGATTGTAAGAGGGCCAGAAGGAGATTGAAGGATCTGTTCGTCTCTTCTTCACCTCCGCTCGATGATGACAGGACCAAGAATCGGGGTCGCGACGGCGTCCGGATGCTGACTGCCGGCCCCGGTGAAATTGACGACGGCGCTAGCGATCGCGGTGTTGGGAGCAATGGTGATTATACTAATAGTGGCTTTGGTCGCGGTTTCTCCGGTCGTCGGAGAGGGCTCAGACAGGGTGCGGCGTCGTTTCGGTGTAGGTTACTGAGGAGAGCTTGGCGGCCTGTACTGGTCACTATTCCAGAATAGTCAGTCAGCCAGCCACTAGATTAGTATTTTTTTCCCCCGTCGTTGAAAACTTGAAATCTGTACGTATAATGAAATGGAACGTATTTCATTTTCTGAAATTTTTGTCTCCCCAATTTTCGTAGGCTGAGATAATTAGATTTTGTTAACCCCTAATTTTAGACAGAGAAAGAGATTGGATTCATGGTTTGGTCTCTTGTTTAATCGAATTTGGTTGAGCGGTAGAGTCGGGCTAAAAGTGTGTTTAGTTTGATATGGTTCGACCTTGATATTTGTTGCGCCTATTGATGTTATAGTTATGACCTTAAAGACATAAGGTAGCACTCGTTGTCGTGTATTGAACATGTAATAATGATATTAGACATAAGGTAGCACTCGTTGTCGTGTATTGAACATGTAATTAATAATGATATTAGTGCATAAGATAGAACTTATTTGATGAAGATTTCAAATTTGAATTCACTAGTTTTCCTCAAGGAAACTAGTTACACGGATTTGGAGGATTTGACTCTTTAAAAATTATGGGGATTTGAATCGGGTTTGATTGAAGCCAAAAGGTTTGACTTTTGTTCATTGTAATTGGAAATACGAGTAGATTGTTGAACTACTGGTAAGTGGGTGAATTTGGGTTGGTTCGATATTTTTTTGGGTGGAGAGTCATGCCGACGTAAATGTGCGTAACGGCCAATTCCTTCCTTCGGCTTGCTCAACTCAACAATGAGCCGTAAAATTCGGTGATGCGCCAAGGTGTAACATATTATTGGTTTGAACAACGCTAGCGTATCGTTTCCTTAATGATTAAAAGGCCTTGGAAGAATGGTGATCTTGTAGTTGTATGGATGTTGTGAAACCGGTTTATACCGTTAGGATGGTTTGATAATTGAGATTGTTCGACTAGTGGTATGATAAGTTTATATGTAAGTTCATGTTGGTTTTAGCAAAATATCTAGGCAGGTAAGAAATTATTAATTCTAAAAGAATTTAGACAATTTTTATAAAATCTACATCCATACATGAATAAAAAAATACTATATTTCAAACAAAATGGAAATCATCAAAACCTTGAATCCCAATATCCAAATATCCAAACCTTTATAGTTTATATTTGAATTCAACAAATAACATAAACGTCTAAGTATTCATACTTTTTTTACAAACTAATTATTTATACTTGAATCCAACAAATAACATCAACATTTAACTTTCAAATTAAAAAAAGATAAAATTATTAAATAAATCCACCATCATTTTGCTTAGAGGCCGGAAATTGATTTGTCGGTCATACCAGAACATTCAAGCTGGTTTTATGATCGGCACCGATTCAACCCAATTGCAGACATGACAACCATGAGTTGTACGATTGAGATCATTGGGGAATTTCAATAAGAGAATTTTGTTTACGTGAGTTTGGTATCTCTATTGGGCATTGAATTAATCGGAAAATTTTTTCTAGTAAGTTCATCACTTGCCATAAGTTCTGATAATTGTTAGGAAATTATCTATAGTATAGCAACGGGTTTGGTCGAGGTCGGATAGTGCATATCTATTATCCTACCCAAAATAGTTAAGATTTTACCTGTATTCAGACTCATACAAGAATTGAGTAGAATATCAAAACCGTACCCATACTTGATCGGGTTTTGAGTATCCACGGTTAACTATGGATAAACATGTTAAACATTTCACATATACTGACATTATATTAGCGAAAAATTAAAACAATGAATTACTAAAAAATGAAAAAAATTAGTTCAAAATAATATAATTTCATGAAAATATTATATATGTATGATAAATATAAAATAAGTTCGAGAAAAATAATGATCCATTTTAAACAAAATGCATGTGTACAATCGAGTATATTTGGGTTAGATAGTGAGAAAACCATGCTCATCCATCACCGACAATATTCGAGTTCATGTTTTACCCATATCCATTTGAAATATCTATTTTACCCATTCAATTAGGTTGAATTCAGACGGGTATCCACGAGTATAGTTATTTTGCCATCCCTAAATATCTAGATTCACTAGATCATTAACTTCATAGCATCATAAAATGCCAAGGTAAATCCTGCAAAGTAAAGAAGTGGACACTCACTCACGAAACTAATTTGGGCATGCATAGAGTAGTAGCCGGCACATCACCAACAATTCAAAATGGGTCGGTGTGGAAATGATGACAGTGATTAACACCTGATGGGGAAAAGCCATACATCTGATTATCATGCTCTTTGAAAAGTTATTTCCTGGCTATAGTTCAGTCATTCTTCAAACTTATTTTATTGCTTTTGGCTTCATTGTTATATTGAAAGATTGAAAAATAGTAGTTCGATCATATTAACTTTCTCACTGAAGGTAAAATCGGTAGGCGGTATTTAGCGGTATGAAACAATTGAATTATGATTAAATCACGATATTAGCATAAATTAAAATACCCTACTGTTGACTTTTTGGGTACAACTTCTAGTACGATTTTCAATCATTATTTTTTAAATTTTAACACAATTCACAAGCCTACTAAGCAGTGGCGTAGCCAGAAATTTATCTAAGGTAGGTCAAGCGTGAAAAAAAAAGGTAAGTTCAAGGATATATTCATGTTCTGAAAATTAAAATTCATTCATTATGCAAATTATGAGAATGTTAAGATACCACAACGAAAAATCGTTCATGATTCCTGAAATCATCTCATTCTAGAGTGTTTCTTCACTTTGTTGATTGCACTAAGTGCTCTTTCAACACTTGCAATAACAACTTATAGCAACAACTACTTCGAGCTTTTGTATATATTAAACTCACTTTACACAAAATATGAATTAAAAGTAAAATATAGATCACAAAACATTACTTTTTCGTAAAATTATCTACGATAATATGAAGATTTTGTATTCAATCTACAATCATATAGACTAATTTACTTTACATTTTTTTGGGCCAAGGTGGCGCAAAAGACCCACCTTGGCCTTGACTTGAGTGGCTCCGCCACTGGCCCACTGTTACTAAGGATTGTTTGTAAGGATATAAAATTGGGTAAATGCCATGATTGGTCACTGAGATTACTAAAAAAATGTCAAGTTTGGTCACTAAAAATACTTTATTCCATTAGTGATCACTAAAATTACTAAAAATGTCAAGTTTGGTCACTATCCGTCCAACTCCATTAACTTTTACTTATGTGACAATCAACTCTTTAAGTTGACCGTTAAATATATGACGTGACAATTAAAAAATTAAAAAATAATAAAATTCAAAATTTCCACCTCATCATTTTCATCATTAAAAAATAAAAATAAAAAAAATAAAAATTCTTTTATTGCTTACCTCAATTCTTATCTAATACAGGGTAACTAGTACGACGAGCAGAGACATTGATAGTCGGTGGACGACCCCCTTTCGCGATGGAATCGACTCCGGGAACGGACCCCTTTCGCCGCCGGTGGACAGCGGGCGGATTCTGGAGTCCCCCAGGTGGAAGGTTCGGCGACAGGGAACTTCAAACCTGACAACCTGCTCGGCGGAGAAGAGATCTACAGAGGATGGGTCGACGGGAGAAGTCTATCACCTTGTACCCCCGGGACGGGTCTCACCGTCGCCATTGAGAAATTGACGACGGGAGAGTGACCAAATTTGATATCTTTTAGTAATTTTAGTGACCACAAATGAAATAAAGTATTTTTAATGACCAAATTTGATATTATTTAGTACGTAATCTCGATGATCAATCATGGCATTTACCCTGTAACCTACTAAACCCCTCGATGTTAAACCAAACTTGCTTTTGATGAGAAATTGAGTCATATAACCACTGATTTTAAAAGGCTATAACAACGTACTAATTAGCATATCTGATATGATCCCTCTCGTGCAAAGCACAAGATGCTTGAGCAGATTTGAAAATATATAATATATGGACTAATGTAAGACGTTTTGCATATTAAGCCTATTTTCAAATGTATACAGAAAAACATGAAGGCAACTTCCGATCGATCGAGTCGCATGTTATCTTTCCCTATAAATACCACCGCTGCGCTACCACATCCCACACATTCCAAGCTTTGAGCTTCCTTTCATTAATAAGCTATAGCCAGCTAGTGAAACAAATCCTTTCATTTACCATGGCAATGACTACCACTGCCCATGAGATCAAATCTTCCAATATCTCAGCCGAAAGAATGTTCAATGCTGTGATCCTGGAAGCCAACACCACCTACACAACCGTCTTTCCTCAAATGATCAAGACTATCGAGACCATACAAGGGGATGGAGGCCCCGGAACGATATTCGAAATCGCCTTCATTGATAGTGGTAAACGTTTCCTCTTTCGCTAATTCGTTTATACGTTGAAAGTTAAATCGAGTAAGATTGGATATGTAGGTGAATGCTATTTAATGGCTTCAACAAGTATTAATGTTCATTGTATTAATCTTGATGGGTTGCGTGGTTACAGTGACGGCTGAATTGATGACCTTAGAGACTAAGGTGGATGTTGTGGACCCATCGAACTTAACCGCGAAGTACACAATGACAGATTCAGATGATCAAGTAGTGGTGAGTGAGTTGAAGTTTGAGAAAGACGGAGCAAAAGGTTGTATCTGTAAGTTGACCAATCAGTACGTAAAGAAAGCCGAGGGAATCCACAGTGGAGCAGAACGGGTATTGCGTGTCAATAAGAAGCTGTTTGAGTATCTCTCAGCCAATCCCGACATTTGTGCATAAGCCAATTATTATAAGGAAATATCATGGCTTTGATATACATGAGATGAACAATAATGGGTGTTTCGTTTCAATATTCACTTGTATTTGTGTTTCGTATTGTTCCTTTCCCCTTCAATAAGTCCCAATCCCTTGGCCTTCGAGGTGTCGGCTAGATATTTACGTTGTGTATCGATCACTTATTGGAACTATTGTACTTTGAATGAATATATACTGGTTGTTATGAAGAAAAAAGTCATGGTACAACTTATGTTTTGGATTTATGGATGCATTTGGTATTTGTAGGAGTTTTAGGGTGTTATTTGATTTTGTTAAAAAGTTTGAAGTATGGGTAGTTAGAGGGAACTTGTTGATCTTTATATTATGTTATTATGGAGATTTTCTCATTAAGAAAACACATAACAGAATTAACAGAAACCCTAATTCTCTCTCCCCTCTTTCCCTTGCTTCGACCAAACCTTTTCTTTTAAGCACCTATCATAATCATTTTAATATTAAAATGAACATTGAAAATTTTTCAAATTGTGAACAACTAATCATATAACAAGTAGCAAGCGTATCAATTATCAAGGCAAATATAATGGACATTGTCCTCAAAGGACTAAAAGATAGTGAGTCGTGGTAAGCTTGGAATGAGTTACCTTGATTGTTGTTCAGAATCCAAGCTCGTCATTGAGTGTTGCTAGTTCTTCATGACTTTTTGAGGAGACTCGAAATAGTCAAACAAAATAAATGCTCTCTCAACTTCTTGATCTCCCATATGTTGGGTCCTAATGTTGGCGGTCCACTGCCTGGAAAGAGGTTCCAGAAAGATCTTGATGCTCTGCCTCCTATCTCTTGCATCAAGCTCGAGTCTCCTCAAGCCCCATCTGTCTCTCGTGATCAAGGTCATCCCACTATTGCTCGTTCAGATTCTGGTAGGTATTCAGCTTCTCCTCCTGCCTTTCCATAGATGTTCGCAACTCTGCTAGATAGAGTACTACATAGTCGTTAACCTGAGGTGGTGGTGGTACCATGGTATTGTGTGGCCAGCTCCATATCCATGCTCATGTAATCTCACTAAGTGCACTGCTGCTCTCCATGTCGCTGTCCATGCAGAGTATCATGCGCAAACATTGTTGGCAAGCTCTACTCCATTACTTTTCACCCTATCAACTCCAAATCTATTGTGAAAGTTGGCTGATGATAGTTAGTCATTCCCACGCCAAGGTGTCCCACAAAGAAAATATGTACTCCTCCTTACGCTGGTCAATGTGCTGGGTTATAGTAAGAACATAGCCCCCCTCCTGGAAGTTGTGAACCACCAACCAGGTTGGGTAAAGCCACTAGTTGTTTAGTAAAGTATGATACAAGATCATGTCATTGGTGGTCACCTTCCCAGCATCTTCCTTTTGCCTCATGTGAATATATGATGAATCGTAGCTGAATGAGGATTGGGGAAGAGTAGCCAGCAGAAAACTTGGCTCCTTGGTCTGTCGTGATTGTCTTTCACAACTCCTAAAAGATAGCCATCTATACCATAGGATCCCAATAAGCTCCAAGGATAGCATCATAGAGTGGCCCTCTCCTATGGTAGGCATTTGCTAAAATGAGAAAGATGCTATGCTAGAATTTTGAAAATTTTGGTATGGCATTTGCTAAAATTTATCAATCCATCCAAGCATACATTCAATTAAGATCATCACAAGAACCATGCAATCTCATTTCTTAGCATACAAGGTTAAATTGATTCCGAATGGGTATACAAGGTCAAATTCAAACCCTCTGGAGAAATCGAACGCGCGCCTCAAGCACTGTTAGTTTCCAAAGGCTTCACTCATATACTAGGGATAGATTATCATGATACATCTACTCCTGTTGCCAAGATGGTCACTGTTCGTAGTTTGGTTGTTGTTGTTGCTTTACAAAATTGGCCATTGCACCAACTCAATGTTAATAACGCATTTCTTCATGGTGATTTGGATGAAGATGTGTACATGAAGATGACTAAAGGGTTTCGTCAACCAAATGACACTAGAGTTTGCCACTTTGAAAAGTCCTTATATGGTTTGGAACATGAGAGTGGTGTTGGGCCAGTGCAAAGAGGAAGGGAGCGATAGCGGCGAGAGGTTACTGGAGAGCAAGAGCTTGGATTTTTTTTTTAATTTGTACATTTTTAATGTTGGTGGTGGGTGAGGGGAGAAGCTAAGAGGAGGTGAGTTGGATAATTAATTAAAATAAAATTTTGATTTTATTGTCTAATTGCTATATCATCTGGTTAACGGTCAAAGGTCATCGTTGACCACCATGTAGGACAAATTTAGTGAAAAATGGACGGTCATTGATCAACGATAAAATTAGAGTTTATAGTTAGTAACCGCTAATTGAATACAAAAAATTAGTGACAAACATGAAAGAAATTGATAACTCGGTGACCAGACATATAATTTAGCAAGTGATTTTCCAAATAGCTAGGAGGGGTTTATAAGACCGGTGCTACAAAACCATTGAGGTAAGTTATTTTCTTAGTACACCATAACATCCAATTTGATATAATTTGAAATAGATGATTTTCACATCAAATTGGCGTACTCGTGTATGTCGTGGTACGATAGTTTTGGGAGCAGGGGCGGAGTGAGAGTGTTAAAGGGTGGGTCCCGGGACCCACCTAGGCTCGGGAACAAAAATATTAAATTAGATATAATATTTAAAGATGTATTTATTCAATATCTACCGCAAATTTCACCAAATTTAGTTTGTAAAAATAATTTTATTTTAATTAGCGATAGGGAGAGTGTAACGGGTGACTCCTAAGGAAAGAGTAAATTAGTATATAATTGTTCATTGAGAATGAAATTCAGCCATTTATATAGGGAACATCTAATTGAAAATGATCGACCGAGAGATCATGTGTTCGAATCTTGACGACCCCATTTGTTAAGCACATGATATTCAAATTTGCAAACACTTTAACCATGTATAAATTGGTTTTTGTTAGCGGGGAAGTGTTAGTAAATATTAAATAGTTTAAGATCCATAATTAAATCTTTCCCAATAACTCGAGTTGTTGATACCAAACGATATTGACAAAGAACATCATTCAAAAGCAAATGTCTAACTAAATTATGAATAATTTTTTTTGATAATTAATTATGAATATTCTTTTTTTATACATATAGAGTGATATTTTTTATATTCATATAATTAATTTACCAAAATTTTTTAAATACAAAATAAATCATGAATGATTTAGAAAGCTAACAAAATATTTTTATCGTATGTATTTTTCCTAAACGGATCCTCCCTTCACAAAATCCTGACTACGCCCCTGTTTGAAAGTACTACTATGGTATGGTTTAGTATGTATACCTGCAATGAGCAAGTCTTTGAATCTCAAAATGTTACGAACATTTTCAAAATGAATTTCGTTACGCTTATTAGTATTTGTACATTTGTATGGATTTATTCTCGAATCGTGCTTATTAACGAATGCGGTATGGATCAATTAAACCTTTCACCACACCATGTCTTCGAATCATAGGCAATTAACAACCATCTAAAAAAGAGATTAAAAAAATGGATTTGATCTCGGGCGTGGCCGCGTTGGTGGATTTGGACAAAGAACAAATGATGAGAACCGGTATCACAGACTAGTTTGAATCTATAAATTAAAGCATATATCTGATATGATTACTCGTGCAAAGCAAAAGATACTTGAGCAAATTATAAATACTAGCTAGCGTGGAAATGTGCTACCTACTTACCTTCCTTATAAATACCTGTATTGCAGCCCTACAAACAATATCCCAACATTCCAATCTTTGAGCTTCCTTTTCATCCAATAAGTTCTCTTTGCCTCTTCGATACTCGATCGATTATTAGAGCTAGCCAGCTAGGGAAAAAACCTTCCATTTACCATGGCAATGACTACCGTTACCCATGAGATAAAATCTTCCAACATCTCAGCCGAAAAAATGTTCAATGCTGTGGTCCTGCAAGCCGACACCACTTACACAACCATCTTTCCTCAAATGATCAAGACTATCGAGACCATCCAAGGCGATGGAGGCACCGGAACGATATTCAAAGTCACCTTCATTGATAGTGGTAAACTTTCTTAGGTCGAAGTCGAATCGAGTAAGATTGGATATATATATAAGTGAATGTTGTTGTTCATCTATGTGTTTTCCGGTTGATAGTGGGTCTATACCAATAATTTGAGTTATTAATGAGAGGAAACCTTTAGGTTCTTGAAACCATTGATTTCTTGGGTTGAACGAGTAATGAATGTTCATCGTATTAATATTGTTCGGTTGCGTGGTTGTAGTGACAGCTGAATTAATGACCTTGGATACTAAGGCGGATGTTGTAGACCCATCGAACTTATCCGCGAAGTACACAATAACGGATTCAGATGATCAAGAAGTGGTGGTTGAGTTGAAGTTTGAGACAGAAGGGCAAGGTTGTATTTGTAAGTTGACTACTCAGCATGTAAAGAAAGCGGATGGAATTCATAGTGGGGCAGAAAGGATATTGCGTGTCAACAAGAAGATGTTTGAGTATCTCTCCGCCAATCCCGATGTTTGTGCCTAAGCCAATTAAATATCATGGTTATATCTAGCTAGATGGACACATCTAGATATTTGATATACATGATATACGAACAATAATAATGTGTGTTTCATTTAAGGTTTGTTTTAAATATCTCACTTATTTGTGTTTCGTATTGTTCTTTTCCCTTCAATAAAAGTCCCAATCCCTTGCCCTTCGGTGTATTGGTCAGAAATTTACATTGTATACCAGTCCCTTCTTGTTGAAATAAATATACTTTGAATGAATAAGTAATGGTTTATGAATGTGTGATTGTTCAATAAGATTATATACTAGATAACGTCTTGTGCTATCGTAACAAGAAAATAAATTATCAAAAATAAAAATATTAATTTTCTTAATTTTCTCGTCTATGGCATATTATACTAAATAACTCTGGCTCATCAAATCATCAAATTTTGACTCCGCCCCTG